GTTGTGGGGGGGGCTCACCCTGACGGGGAAGCTGCACTTGCCGCGGCGCACGGCCTCCTCGTCCGACTGCCACTGGTGGGGGCGACTCGCCTCCGGGAGGTACGGCTTCTTCCGCCTCAGACTCTGCCGCAGTTTGTTCATGGTGGGGGGCGGGGCCCGGGGGGCGGGGGGCGGGGCCTCGCGGGCAGGGGAGGGGCCTCGCGGGTGTGGGAGGGGCCTCGCGGGCAGAGGAGGGCCTCGCGGTGTGGGAGGGGCCTCGCGGGTGTGGGAGGGGCCTCGCGGGTGTGGGAGGGGCCTCGCGGGTGTGGGAGGGGCTTCGAGCTGCAAACAGAGAACAGAATCCACTTACATTTCACGCAACAGTCACACACACAAACCCGTCACCGTCACCGTGACCTGTGGGGTCTAACCCCTGGGGTACAGGGGCTGTGGGGTGGGGGGGGGGGGGAGGTCTGGTCCTTGTAGTCCAGACAATCGGCCGCGTTGAAGTTGAGCTTCCAGGAGGACGTCTGGTCCTTGTAATCAAGGCAGTCCACCGTGCTGAAGCCCAGGCCGGCCGGGCCGTAACCCTGGCTGGAAAGAGAGGCCGGAGACTGGCTCAGGTGACCCCCCATGCCCGCCGCGGCGATGGGGCTCAGGGCGGAGCCGGGGGCTGACAACTGCGGGTGCATGGGCGACAGGTAGGAGCCACAGTCGATGCCGGTGAAGTAGGAAGACGAGGCAGGGTAACCCTGACCGTAGCCCTGAGCCTGGCTGTAGGCCATGGGGTAGGTGGACGCTCGCTGCATGCAGGAGGCGTTGGCCGAGGTGAGTGGGTCGGGGATCGGGGAGATGGAAGCCGGGCTCCAGATGGAGACGGTGGCGTTGGCCCCTGGGTTCCCGCCATGGCCCGGGGCCGCGGGGCTGTAGGGGTCGTTTGTGCTGGTCTCCGAGCTGGTCTCCCTGGCCGGGGAGGACTTCTTCTTGGCCGGCCGGGGTTTGCTCTGGCCGCTGCTCTGCTGCTGCTGCTGACGGCATTTTGCTCGGCGGTTCTTGAACCAGACCTTATGGGGTTTTTTTAACGGTGAATATCGGTCAGTCACAGGGTCCCTCAGGGAGACACAGCACAACTCAACACAAAGCCACGCTTGGAGCAACGCCTCTCGGGTCGGGGAGACGTCCCCAAAATCGCTGGAGAGTCAGGGGTTTGGACCCGAGCGGGGGGGGATGTCAGGATCAGGAGGGGGTTTGAGGGCGGGGAGGGAGGGTTGGGAGTGTAGGAGGGTGATCGAAGCGGAGGGTCTTGAAGGAGGGAGTGAGGCGGAGGGAATGTGGGATGGAGTTCCAGAGGGTTGGGGGGGGCAGAGAGGCTGATGGTGGTGGGCCAGGCCGGGTGGGGGGTGTGGTGCAGGCCCCCACCCTCTGGAACTCCCCCCCCCTCCCTCCCTCCCTCGTCCCCATCTCAAGACGCTACTCTTCGACCAACCCTTCCTTCGGTCACCCACCCTCCTACCCCATCACCCACCCTCTCCTGATCCCAACCCCCAGCTCGGGTCCAAACCCCCGACTGTCCAGCAAACTCTGGGACGTCCTCCCCGACGTGTAAATGTCACGCGTGTTTGTTTTTTTTACCTGGACCCTGGACTCTGGGAGGTTGATTTTCAATGCAACTTCTTCCCTCATGAAAATATCCGGGTAACGGGTCTTGGAGAAGAGGGATTCCAGGATGTCGAGTTGAGCTCGCGTAAAGGTGGTTCGTTCTCTACGCTGTTTGCGAGGTGTGGCTGCGACGGGGGGAGAAATACAGGTGAGAATTTGCCCTAAAATAATAATGATGATAATAATAATCCTCGCATTTGACACAGCGCCTTTTATCGCGTCTTCGAGACGTCTCAAAGCGCTTCACTGTCTAAAGACCTTCCTCTTCGACCGTGCCTTCGGCCTGGGACGGCTTTCCCAACATGAGGGGTCTGTACAAGTGTCTGTTGTTGTTGTCGTCTCCCCCTCTCCCCCTCCCTCTCTCTCACCTGGATAGCCCACGGCTGAGTGCAGTAAGTCCATCCCTGATCCAGTCAGTGTCAGACCATTGACGGTGTAAGGGGGTTGTTTGATGTATGACATCATGTTTGCGGTAGCGGGGAATTTCCCCCTTTGTTTTCCCCCTCTTGTAACTTCCCGGGATCTTTCACCCTCGGATCCAGAACCTCCGGCTTCCAAGGCTCAGCCTCGTCCTGGCTCGCTGGAACGAGAGATGGAGAGATGGTGAGAATTGAGAGCGAAAGAGAGAGAGAAAGGGTCATTCACCCACCCGGTCTCCTCCCTCCAGGTTAATCCTTTCAGCCCCATATCTGTGTGTTCCCCCCGTCCCCCCCCACACACGCACCACTTGACTGACTCTTTTGAAGGTATTTAAGAAGCGAGAGAGAGAGAGAGAGAGAGAGGCAACAACAAATTACACGTTCCCAGGTCGCTGGACAGTCCGGAGTTTTTGAACCCAAGCTGGGAGTTGGGGTCAGGAAGGGTGCAGGGGGATGGGAGGGTGGCCGAAGGCACGGTCGAAGAGGAAGGTCTTTAGACGGGATTTGAAGGAGGCGAGAGAGGGAGTGAAGCAGAGGAATCACAGCTTAGAGTTCCAGAGCGTGATGGCAGAGATGCTGAATGCCCAGACTGCCAATGGCGGGGGACCTGAAGCAGGCTGGTATCCGTCAAGCGGGGGGAGTGGACATGCTGATATGGGGTTAGTGGGTCGGAGAGGTCGGGGGGAGTGGGCAAGCTGATATGGGGTTAGGGGGTCGGAGAGGTCGGGGGGAGTGGGCAAGCTGATATGGGGTTAGGGGGTCGGAGAGGCCGGGGGAGCGGTCAGGCTGATATGGGGTTAGGGGGTCGGAGAGGCCGGGGGGAGTGGGCAAGCTGATATGGGGTTAGGGGGTCGGAGAGGCGGGGGGAGCTGGCAGGCTGATATGGGGTTAGGGGGTCGGAGAGGCTGGGGGGAGCGGTCAGGCTGATATGGGGTTAGGGGGTCGGAGAGGCCGGGGGGAGCAAGACCGTGGAGGGCTTTGAAGATGACAACGAGGGTTTTGTACCGGGGGGGGAGAGGGGAGTAGGGAAACTCGCCGAAGGTTTCGCCCTGACCTGCCCACTGTAGAGAGAAATAATTTGCAATATCTCTTCTCTCGACCGTCCACCAAAAACACATCACAAAACTACCCTTTTGGGATTTTGTACGATTTTATTAAAAAAAATGTAGAAAAACAGGAAAGAGGTAAGTCTAAAAAATATATATATTTAACTAACTCCACAATTGGTAGCGACACATTAAACTCCGGGGCATAATTCTATGATTAACCCCCGCATTAAACTCCACGCACTGAGCTAAAACAATTGTCGAAAATGATTATTAATTATAATAATAATTATAATAATAATAATCCTGGCATTTGATATAGCGACTTATCACATCGTCACGACGTCTCAAAGCCAATTGACTGTATATTTTGTGGGCGGATGAAGCTCATTTAAATTGTTTCAGAATATTAACAATAATGACATACGTACACACAGACTGGACAAGTCGATGTAACAGATATTAACGTAGATAAATAAATAGATTGAACGCGTTATTGAGCTGCTTTTTCCGGGAATATCTGGAGGAGATCAGGAAATACATCGATTGCAAATTGAAAGCGGCCATTTGTGGCAATGTATAAGACACACAAAATAAAGTAATATAATAATAATAATTCTGGCATTTGATAAAGGGCTTTTCACGTCTTCTCGACGTCTCAAAGCGCTTAACAGAATAGACTATAAAGTGAAGTGACTGTATATTTGTGGGCGAAAGGCGGCGGCTGATTGCGCACAGCAGCGTCTCACAAACAGTCGTGGGTTGAAAATGACCAAATTATTATTCTAATTAACTGCTGGGTTTCGCCTATAAAATACACAGTCACTACACTTTGCGGTGTATCCTGTGAAGCGCTTTGTGTCGTCTTGAAGGTGTGATCAGGCGCTGTGTCAAAGGCCGGGATTATTATTATTATTATTATTATTTGAGCCATTTCGGAAATGCTTTCTTTGGGCTCGAGACACAGAGAGAGAGAGAGAGACAGAGAAAAATATTCTCATTATTATTTATTTAATAATAATATGAATGAATGTTACTTTTCTTAATATATTTGAATTTCCTAAAGTACCAACTACTTTTATTATTAATAATTATGATAATACAACTTATATATTCTTAATTATCACAAAATAATTGATATGAAATGATATCAACAATTATAATTTCATGTGAACGATATAATACAAATATATAAATTGTATAACAACTATAAACATATACAAACATTATTTTGTAGCAATTAATTAGAATAATAATTGAGCTATAAAACCTGGGTTTCAGATTTGATTAATTACAGAAACGCTGTGAATTATTTGGGAGTTCCCTCAACAGGAATTAACGCTGTTTGATTTCAAATAAAAGTGGGTCAAAAATATTCCAAATGTGGGACACAATTTCTGGTCAAAATCAGGGCTAAAGGGATGGTTAAAAATGAGAACTTTTCCTTACAAGAGAGAGTTTGAGACAGAGACGCAAGAAAAAAAGATTTTAAAAGGAAATACATTAAACCCTGTGACTTGGCAAAAGGCTGAGACGGGATATGAAATAATAATAATAATAATCTTTGTATTTAACACAGCGCCCGATCACGTCTTCGAGACGTCTCAAAGCGCTTCACAGGATATAACGTAAGGTGTAGTGACTGTGTGTTTTGTGGGCGAAACGCGGCAGCCGTTCGCACCCAGCGACGTCCCCACAAACAGCCGTGGGTTGAAGCGACCAAATTATTTATTGAAGGGATTATTACCCCCAGAAAGTGATCCCCGATCGACTAACAAGCGGTTCCTACTGACTGCCGGGGACACAGGCGTGTGTGTGTGTGTGTGTGTGAGTGTGTCTGTGTGTGTCTGTGTGTGTGTGGGGGGGGGAGAGGGGGTGGAGAAGGAAACTTGCCTAAGGTTCTCACTGTCCTGCTCGCCCAGGAATCGAACCCGGGTCCTCTGGCTTGCGAGGCGAGGGGTCTAACCCCTGAGCTACAAGGACTGTGGGGTGCGAAGAGAGGGGTCTAACCCCTGAGTTACAGGGGCTGTGGGGTGCGAGGCGAGGGTCTAACCCCTGAATACAGGGGCTGTGGGGTGCGAGGCGAGGGGTCTAACCCTGAGCTACAGGGGCTGTGGGGTGCGAAGAGAGGGGTCTAACCCCTGAGTTACAGGGGCTGTGGGGTGCGAGGGGAGGGGTCTAACCTAACGAAAGGAAATTCGGTGAAACTGTGGACTGTAACCGCAGCCGCCGACTGCTTATTATCCTTTAAACACAATGAATTTACATTTCAAATGCTCCTTTCCTCTTTGTGGCCCTCTCCACAAAATAGTCGTTAAAATCTTTAGTATATACAGGATTCCCGGTCAGGGTGAGAAGTTGGGCACTCACTCCATACACACACACACGCACACACACACGCACACACACACGCACACACGCGCCTGTGTCCCCGGCAGTCAGTAGGAACCCGCTTGTTAGTCTATTGTCGGATCGCTTTCCGGGGGTAATAATCCCTTCAAAATAATAAGAATTTGGTCGCTCAATCCACGGCTGTTTGTGGGGACGTCGCTGTGCGCGATCGGCTGCCGCGTTTCGCCCACAAAACACACAGTCACTACACTTCACAGAGTGTCCCGTGAAGCGCTTTGAGACGCCTCGAAGACGTGATCGGGCGCTATATCAAACGTGAGGATTATTACCATTATTAATGTTTATATCCGGACTTTCCAATTCATCGCTAATCCTTTACTTCGTTGTTGTGTTCAGTGTCAAATCTGTCGTTTCAAAATCGTTAACAATTTGCAAACTTTGTGTTTGATTCAAATCAAATAAAATAAAACCTGACGGAAAATAAACAAATAATATACATTTTCCAATAATTTATTAACGAATATCAATCTGATTACCTGGACCCTGTGCGCGTGTGAGTGTGTGTGCGTGAGTGTGTGTGTGAGTGTGTGCGTGTGTGTGCGTGCGAGTGTGTGTGTGTGCGTGTGTTTGTGAGCGTTCCTTTTGTAAATTATTTATCGTTAGATTTTATTACTTTTTTTATATAATATACAGACAGAGAGAAAATTCCTGGACCTTGTTCACTCCAAACTATAATGATATATTGTTTAAAAAAACAGGATTTTGGAAGGAAAAACTTCTTCGGCTTATATATGTGTGTAAAAAAAAATGCCTTTTTAAAGACATTATTCCAATCATTAAAAGGCTTTTCAAAAACTAAACCCAATAAATAACTAAACTAAATGACAAGTCGTGGGTCGGGAAAATATTACAGTAATTTAATATCATTGTAATACTTCCCCCCCAAACGGTTCTTTAATAATATTCTCCATTCAATGTTAAATATTTATAATAACATGACATGGAAACACATTATTCCTATCGTTGAGCGCAATATTCTTACAACATTAAATGACGGTTACGCCGTTTAAAGACTACTCGAAACGCCACTTTCTCCCCACGAAGAGAAACGAAAAGTTTATTGGGGGTCCGTAACCGAAAAAAGATTATTAATCACATCGGATTGCGTTAACTCGCTAAAGGTTAAAGCGCTCTTACCTGGGAGTGTGCGGGAGACGGAGGAGAGGATTCCTGGCCGGCGAGAGCCGATTGACACTATTCCCTGTAACAGACATAGTAAATCCCGGTTGTTAGTCGAGTGGCCGATCGCTTTTCCGGGGACAACAATCCCTTCCGAAGAAAAGAAAATATTTCCCTTTAAAAAATATCGGGTCCGCTCAAATCCACGGCTGTTTGTGGGGACGTCGCTGTGTGGCGGGGGGTGTGGGGGGGGGTGTGGGGAGCAACTGGTAGCCATATTTCTCCCGCAAAACGCAGCCGGTCCCGCGAATCTCTTCGACACGTCTCGAAGCCGTGATGAGGCGCCAGGGTTATTAGTATTATTACCACTATTATTACTGCTGTTATAAGTAGTTTACAGCCGGACCACAGGAGCGCACAGGCGCTGGGAGCACAAACACGCACAAACTTCTCTACAGATTACAGCGCTTTGAGACGTCTCGAAGGCGTGATGAGGCTCCGGCTCAAACGCCGGGATTATTATTGTTGGTTATTACGGGCTAAGCTTTCGAAATACATACATTCGCTAAAACTGCCGCAAAATATGTTAAATGGATAAATAGGAGAAGCTTAGCAGCCCGTAAAACATAGCTTAACCTTGTTTCGAGTGAGCTTAAGTGGAGGGTGTGTGTGTGTGTGTGTGTGTGAGCTCCCGTGTGTGTGTGTGTCTCTCTCTCTCTCTCTCTCTGCTTATCCCTAAACCCATATTATGGCCTATTACGCATCTATTTGCCACGCCTCACCTCCCAGCGATGATCAACCCTCTCTATAGCCTTGCCACCCCCCTCTCCCTCCCTCTCCCTCTCTCCCCCCCCCCACCCCCCTCTCTCTCTCTCCCCGACGCTCTCTGGGTTCGATTCCCGGGTCAGGGCGAAACCTGAGGCAACTTTCCTCACTCCACACACACACACACACACACACACACAGACCTCTGATTACCGTCAGTAACTAGGAACCCGCTTGTTAGTCGATTGGTGAATCACTTTTCCGGGGGTAATAATAAACCCCCCAAGAATGTGGGCACTCAATCCACAGTGCCCTTACCCCCCGGGGGAGAGAGAGTATCCCATTCCCAGACACACGGAAATTGGCATGTGTGAATTACACACACTTTCACTCAAGGTTTGGGGACGTTTAAGCCACGGTGACGGGTTTCCGTGTGTGTCAGACACCCGACCGGTCACGGTGACGGGTTTCCGTGTGTGTCAGACACCCGGCCGGTCACGGTGACGGGTTTCCGTGTGTGTCAGACACCCGGCCGGTCACGGTGACGGGTTTCCGTGTGTGTCAGACACCCGGACGGTCACGGTGACGGGTTTCCGTGTGTGTCAGACACCCGGCCGGTCACGGTGATGGGTTTCCGTGTGTGTCAGACACCCGACCGGTCACGGTGACGGGTTTCCGTGTGTGTCAGACACCCGGCCGGTCACGGTGATGGGTTTCTGTGTGTGTCAGACACCCGACCGGTCACGGTGACGGGTTTCCGTGTGTGTCAGACACCCGGCTGGTCACGGTGACGGGTTTCCGTGTCACAGACACCCGGCCGGTCACGGTGACGGGTTTCCGTGTGTGTCAGACACCCGGCCGGTCACGGTGACGGGTTTCCGTGTGTGTCAGACACCCGGCTGGTCACGGTGACGGGTGTGTGTGTCAGACACCCGGCCGGTCACGGTGACGGGTTTCCGTGTGTGTCAGACACCCGACCGGTCACGGTGACGGGTTTCCGAGGGACGGAGAAACATGAAAACAATACCCTAATAAAAATAATCCTTTCATTTCACATCTCTGATGTCACAACAACTCAAAGCGCTTCACCAGCGTTTTACTATCAAGCGAAGTGACTGTGTGTTTTTGCGGGTGAAACGGGGCAGACAATTGAGTGACTGATTTTATCTGGAGGGGGGGGGGGAACTGTCAGTCAGTACACTGAGACAGAGACAGAGACAGAGAGAGAGAGAGCATCCAAGTAGTTTAGCTCATGTCACTCTCTGGTTATGTGCCCACAGCAACGTCCCACAAACAGCCACGGAATATTACATCGGTCTTAAATCCTTATTATAGGATCACTAACAGAGAAGTATTGCGACGTTTTTCTAGAGTTAATTACACTTCTTAATATGCTTTACACTGAAGCTAATGCATCTTACCTTGGCTCTAAATCTGTAGATTTATTCCTACGGGTTTTGTCGTGCAGGAGGGAGCGAGAGAGAGAGAGAGAAAGAGGGAGAGGGATAGAGGGAGAGAGAGAGAGAGAGAGAGAGAGCAGGGTTTTGGGGTGGGACAGGGATAAGGTGTAAAATGCAGAGTGTCGGGGATTTATGGGGTGGGCAGAGGGCAGTCAGATGTCACCTTTCGTCTGTCACTTTGGTTTAATCTTGGAGGGTTGGGGGGGTGACGAGGTGTGTGTGTGTGTGTTTGTGGGTCGGACTTCCAAGACAAAAGCCTGAGACGGACAGGTAAGCAGATGGTAAATCGATTAATAATAATATAATAGTAATAATCCTTGCATTTGACCCGGCGCCTGATCACGTCGTCGACACGTCTCAAAGCGCTTCACGGGACACGCTGTAAAATGTAGTGACTGTGTGTTTTGCGGGCGAAACTCGGCAGCCGATCGCGCCCAACGACGTCCCCACAAACAGCCGTGGGGTTGAAGTGACTGAATTTCCTTTTTGAAGGGGTTATTCCCCCCGGAAAAGCAATCTGTCAATCGACTAACAAGCGGGTTCCTACTGACTGCTGGTAAACACAGGCGTGTGTCTGTGTGTGTGTGTGTGCGTGTGTTTGTGTGTCTGTGTATGTGTGTGTGTGGGACGGGGGGGGGGGGGGAGTCAGGAAACTTGCCTGAGGTTTCTCCCTGACCTGACCCACCCGGGAATCGAACCCGGGTCCTCTGACTAGTGAGATCTCCTGCTCGTCCCTCGTTCACCCCCGCCCCGCCCCACCATCGGTGGCCGCGCTTCCAGCCGCTACACCCCGAAACTCCGTCACACTCTCCCTCCCTCCCTCCCTCCCTCCCTCCCTCCCTCCCTCCGCCTCGCTCCCTCCTTTCCCACCTTCAGATCGAGCCTGTGGACCTCCCCCTCATCGACCAGTGCTTAGAGTCACCTCCCCACACCCTCCCACCCCACCCCTACCCCGAGCTCCGCCACTGTCAAACACTCCGGGACTCTACCCGCTCTCTCTCTCTCGCTCTCTCTCTCTCTCTCTCTCTCTCTCCCCCAGCGTTGAACCAGGAGAGGTGGTTATTGGAATGCGCTGAATGTGATGTAATTACACGGTGCATCGGCTGAAACAGCTCTTTGTGTAATTATAATATACTGGGATTAACATGAGTTTACAATCACATTTAATTTAGCCCTTGTTTTTCTTTCTTAATTAGTGAAATGGAGTGAATCTCTCTCTCTCTCTCTCTGAACCCTCTTAATTGAAATCCCCCAATATTGGAACAAGCTACAGATTATAACTCAGTTCGATGGTTTGGATGTAGTAATTCACCATCAAGTTAAACCTTTCAGTCGACGAGGTATTAAATACTGATGGAAATTGTTTTATACAGAGATATATATATATATAATACTGTATCCTGGCGTCTCTCCCTGTAGCTCAGGGGTTAGAGCTCTCGCCTCGCGAGCCAGAGTTGGGCGAGTTTCCTTACTCTCCGCACACACACAAACACACACAGGGGGGTGGGGGGGGCAGGGCGAGTGTGGGTGGGGGGCGGGGGGAGAGCCCCATATCACACACAGACAGACCCCCACCACCCCAAACTCTCCCCCACCCATAAAAATACGAGTAATCCTTGCATTAGACCCGGCGCCTGATCACGACTTCGAGACGTCTCAAAGCGCTTCGCGGGACACGCTGTGAAGTGTAGTGAATGACTGTGCGTTTTGAGGGCGAAACGCGGCAGCCGATCGCCCCCAGCGACGTCCCCACAAACCGCCGTGGGGTTTTGACGTGACCAAATGATTATTTGTGTTATTATCCTGAATTTCCCGGGGACTATATTCCACCGTGTTATTCCCTGAGGGAATCCGGGTTGGAAACCATCCACATTTTCTGCTTCAACTGTTTCCCCAACTTCACTCTTTGCTCCGCAACATAGCGTTTGCGTAGATTTGTTCTGAATTTTCCCCCTTTTCAATCCCTCTTTTGTCTGTCCTCTGGTTTTACTATTTATACACACACCCACACACACACTCTCACACACACACACTCAACACACACACACACACTCATATACACTCTCCCCACACACGCGCACACTCACACACTCTCACCACACACACACACACACGCGCGCGCGCACTCACACTCTCCCCACACGCACACACTCACACACTCCCCCTCACACTGGAACTCAGCTCGGAGCGGCTTGAGCGATTGACGTCTCTGTTCATTGTTCTGTGTTCTCGCTCGGGGGCTCCGACAGCAGCACATGATGCCTGGGATCTAACACCCAGGATTGTACGGGGGATTTGCGGGGATTAGAGAGGGGGGCAGTCAGGCCCCGTCAGCCCCAGACACAGGGCTTTCATCAGCCACACACTCTGAAGACATCTCGGGCGCGATAGCTGAGGGGGGGGGGGGGAGTGGGGGGTAGAGGCTTAATAATAATTAATAATCCTGGCATTTGACTCAGCGCTTTATCATGTCTTCGAGACGCTCAAAGCGCTTCACAGGACATGTGGGGTAGTGTCCCAGAGGGCTAGAGAGTGGCGGGGTCTGATCCCCCCCCAAACTAGGGGGGGGGGGGGGGGTGGAGGGAAGGGAGGGAGGTGACCGTACGTGCGATTAAGGAGGGACGTTCACGATGGATGGAAAGAGAAAGAGAGAGCAGGGAATGGGGTTAGAGTGGAGAGCTCCGGTGGGGGAGCGAACCCCAGCACAGACACGATGGGGAGAGAGAGAGAGAGAGAGAGAGCAGGGAATGGGTTAGATAGAGAGCTCTACCATCTTCTGTGCTGTAATCAGTGTATGATTTAATCAAGAGGTGGTACGTGGGGAGAGGGGAAATTAGCAAATACCAATTCTACTCAAACTGGATTGAGATCAGCCAACACCACACACACACACA